TTTTTTGCCCCTTTCGTTGTTCTCTTTGTTTGGGATAAGGTTCCCCCACCTTTCCTTTTTTCCAGGGTTGCTTCAATGAACATGTCAAAGCACACCTGGTGGAAGGTCCAAACAACCCACCACTATGAGCAGTGGGATACAGCAGCCAAATACACAACAGAGTGCACACAACACACTCCGGAAACAGTTCCTGAAGTGCCAGACCCTGGACAGCGTATGACCCGTTTTAAATATAGCACTCACAGGTATGGGACACATAACAAGCTATTAAAACACGTATGTGACAGGGGTGCCTGGGTGGCTCAGTAAGTTAAGCATCCAACCTTGGCTCAGATCATGATCTTGCGGTTCATGAGTTCGAGCCCTGCGTCGCAGGCTCTGTGCTGACAGCTGAGAGCCTGGAGGAGCTTACTTCAGATTCTGTCTCTGTCTCTCTCTGCCCCTCCCCCACTCATGCTCTGTCTCTCGCCCTCTCTCTCAAAAATAAAAATAAACACATAAAAATATATAAAACACGTACAAGACAGAAACCTGACCAAAATGACAAAATGGAAGAATTCTCCACAAAAGGAATTCCAAGAAGAAATGCCTGCCAGAGAATTGTTCAAAACAGATATAAACTATATATATGAACAAGAATTTAGAATAACAGTCATAAGACTAATAGCTGGGCTTGAAAAAAAACCCAGAAGAGAAAATACATTGCAATCCAGGCCTATCTCAAGAAGCAAGAACGATCCCAAATACATCACCTAACCTCAAACCTAAAGGAACCAGAAAGGCAGCAGTAAAGAAAGCCCAAAGCTAGCAGAAGAGAAATAATAAAGATTAGAGCTGAAATAAACAATACAGAATCCAAAAAAACAATAGGTCAATGAATCTAAGAGCCAGTTTCTTGAATGAATAAACAAAATTGATGAACCCCTAGCCAGACCTCTCAAAAAGAAAAAAGAGAGGACCCAAATTGATAAAATCACGAATGAAAGAGGAGAGATCACAACCAACACCACAAAAAAACAACAAATTATTAGAGAATACTATGGAAAATTATATGCCAAGAAACTGGACAATCTGGAAGAAATGGACAAATTCCTAGACACCCACACACTACCAAAACTCAAAAGTGAAGAAACAGAAAATCTGAAGACCAATAACCAGCAAAGAAATGGAATCGATTATCAAAAATCTCCCAACATATCAGAGTCCTGGGCCAGATGGCTTCCCAGGGAACTTCTACCAGACATTTAAAGCAGACTTAATACCTATTCTTTTCAAGTTGTTCCAAAAAACAGAAATGGAAGGAAAGCTTCCAGACTCTTTCTATGAAGCCAGCATTACCTTGATTCCATAACCAGACAAAGACCCCACTAAAAAGGAGAATTACAGGCCAATATCCCTGATGAACCTGGATGCAAAAATTCTCAACAAGACACTAGCAAATTGAATTCAACAGTATATTAAATGAATTATTCGCCATGATCAAGTGGGATTCATTCCTGGGCTGCTGGGCTGATTCAATATTCACAAATCAATCAACATGATACATCACATTAACAGAAAAAGGATAAGAACCATATGATTCTGCCAATAGATGCAGAAAAAAACATTTGACAAAATACAGCATGCTTTCTTAACAAAAACCCTCAAGAAAGTCAAGATACAAGGAACATACCTTAACATCATAAAAGCCATATATATGAAAGGGCCACAGCTAATATCATCCTCAATGGGGAAAAACTGAGAGCTTTCTGCCTGAGATCACGAACACGACAGGGATGTCCACTCTCACCACTGTTGTTTAACATAGGATTGGAAGTCCTAGCTTCAGCAATCAGACAACAAAATGAAATAAAA